GGACAGTGCAGCAGCTGCTGCAGATGCAGCAGCAGCAGCAGGAACGGACAGCAAGGCAGCAGACGACGACACAGAGTCTCTCTATTCTTATTACTCTGCGCCGGACTGCCTGCAGCGCGCAGACGCGAGCTGCTGCTGCAGTCCCGTTGCTGCTGCTTGCTGCAGCAGCCCCAGCAGCAGCAGCGACGCAGCAGCAGCCAAAGCAGCACCCGAGGAAGCCAGCAGCTTCATTGAGTGCCTTAGGAGGGCCTCCAGCAGCGCAGCAGCTCCCGTGCTGCAGAAGGCAGCGTCTGAAACCTACACGCAGCAGCAGCAGCAGCAGCAGCAGCTGCTGCTGCTGCCGAACAAGGAGCAGCAGCAGCGGCAGCGGTCGTCGCCTGTTCAGGGCGAAGCAGCAGCACAGAATGGCGCTGCAGGCCCTTCGCTGCGGCAGCAACTGTGGCTGCCGCAGCAGTTCATGCGGCAGCAGCAGCAGCAGCAGCAGCAGCAGCGGCAGCAGCAGCAGCGGCAGCAGCAGCAGCAGCAGCAAGGGGAGGCCTCAAGTCCCCTCAAAAGAAAGAAGGACCTCCAGCTGATGTACAGCGTCGTCACTGCCTCTGACAGCCAGAAGCAGCAGCAGCAGCAGCAGCAGCTGCTGCTGCTGCAGCTGCCGCAGCAGGAGAGAGAACCCCCCCCTTCGAGCTGCCGCTGGCCCGATGCCACAGACCCCGCAGCAGCAGCAGCAGCAGCAGCAGCAGCAGCAGCAGCAGCGATCTCGATAAAGGGGCCCCCTCAGCTGCTGCACGGCAGCGCCCATCATGCAAACAGCGCGTGCCGCCGGTCTCGGAGGCCCTCGCTGCCGCTGCGCTGCCGTTTGCTGCAGCAGCAGCTGCTGCACGAGCAGCAGCAGCAGCAGCAGCAGCAGCAGCTTGGGGCGGCTTCCTACGATTTCAGCGGCAGCAGCAACCAGCTGCTGTCCGTTGCTGCTGCTAGGCGCCGCTGCGTCTCCTGCGATGAAGGCGCGCCCGACAAGCAGCAGCAGCAGCATCGGCTGCTGCTGCTGCTGCACGGACGGCCCGCCCTCAGCAGCAGCAGCAGCAGCAGCAGCAGCAGCAGGTACGGCGACAGCAGCAGCCCCTCCGTTCGCGGCCGGCTAGGTGTACAGACACCCCAAACCACGGTGTCACTTCCTGCTGCTGAAACTGACACGCTGGGTGCAGACACGCCGCTGGCAGCAGCAGCAGCAGCAGCAGCAGCAGCAGCAGCAGCAGCAGCAACAGCAGCAACAGAAACAGAAGCAACAACGCCAACGGCAGCAGCAGCTCCTGCAGACCGGCAAGAGACACAAACGGCGTTGGAGGCCGCTACGGCGGCAGAGAGCAGCAGCAGCAACAGCAGCAGCAGCAGCAGCAGCAGCAGCAGCAACAGCCGGCCTCAGCTGGCTGTGGAAGCACGGAGCGCCATTGCTACACCGTGGTTGTCACCTGCTGCATCAGTTGCTGCAGAGCCGCAGATAGCAGCAGCAGCTGCAGCAGCAGCAGCAGCAGCAGCAGCAGCACACAAAGGCGCTGCTGCAACAAACCTATTCCTGCAGCTTCCACCGCCGCGGTCCCAAACAGCTGCGGGGGAGGTGGAGCCGACTGAACTGCAGCGGCAGCAGCAGCAGCTGCTGCAGCAGCAGCAGCTGCTGCAGCAGCAGCTGCAGCAGCCGCTGCAGCAGCCACTGCAGCAGCTCCACCTGCAGCAGCAGCAGCAACAGCAACGCACAGCTGAATCTCCACATGAGGACCCCTGGTGGGAAGGACGGAGGGCCACCGTCTCCACGGAAGCAGCAGCAGCAGCTGCAGCGCCAGCAGCAGCAGCAGCAGCAGCAGCGGCTTCGCTTTCTGCTGCTGATGGGTCCCCTGGGCAGCAGCGGCCGCTGCACCTGCGGCACCCCACACCTTTGCTCGGGTGTACAGACAGCTCAGGCCCCGCATGCAACAGCGCGTGGAGGACCCCCTGCAGCAGCGCAGCAGGAAGCAGCGCTGCTGCGACTCCAGGGAGTGCAGCAGCAGCAGCGTCTGCTGCTGCTGCTGCTGCTGCTGGCTTCTTGTCGCCCCTAACAGCAAACAGCAGCTGCGTCAATACCCCTTTCTGTCAAACGCCCACAGCTGTGGGGCCCCTCCGAAAAGAGGCCCCTTACCTCCAGCCTGTTTGCTTCCTGCCGCTGCGCAGCAGCAGCAACAGCAACGCACAGCTGAATCTCCACATGAGGACCCCTGGTGGGAAGGACGGAGGGCCACCGTCTCCACGGAAGCAGCAGCAGCAGCAGCAGCGCCAGCAGCAGCAGCAGCAGCAGCAGCGGCTTCGCTTTCTGCTGCTGATGGGTCCCCTGGGCAGCAGCGGCCGCTGCACCTGCGGCACCCCACACCTTTGCTCGGGTGTACAGACAGCTCAGGCCCCGCATGCAACAGCGCGTGGAGGACCCCCTGCAGCAGCGCAGCAGGAAGCAGCGCTGCTGCGACTCCAGGGAGTGCAGCAGCAGCAGCGTCTGCTGCTGCTGCTGCTGCTGCTGGCTTCTTGTCGCCCCTAACAGCAAACAGCAGCTGCGTCAATACCCCTTTCTGTCAAACGCCCACAGCTGTGGGGCCCCTCCGAAAAGAGGCCCCTTACCTCCAGCCTGTTTGCTTCCTGCCGCTGCCGCAGCAGCAGCAGCAGCAGCAGCAGCCGCAGCAGCAGCAGCAGCAGGAGGGCGACAGCCAGGTGGCCGCTCTTCTGCCGGGCAGCCGGGCGTCTACTAGCCCGTTGACGACGCAGGCGCGGCTGCTGCAGGACCAGCAGCAGCAGCAGCAGCAGCAGCACCTCAAGTCTCCGCAGCAGCAGCTTCAAGTGCAGCAGCAGCAACAGCAGCAGCAAGAGCAGCAGCAGCAAACGCTACAGGAAGGACCAGTCGAGTTCTTAAGCGTATGTTTAGCTCCCAGCAACAGTGTAGCAGTAACAGCAACTGATGCAGTATCTCAAATGCAGCAGCAGCAGCAGCAGCAGCAGCACTGGAACAGCAGCAAGGAAGATCTGTATTTGTCGCGCGATCTGGCTCGCTGCGTGGCAGACCGCAGCAGCAGCAGCAGCAGCAGCAGCAGCAGCAGCAGCAGCGAGTGCAGGGATGTTTCACACTGGGATCTTCTTTCCTTCATTAAAGACGAGGCGTCAAGCCGTCGTGTCCGCCCAGCAGCAGCAGCAGCAGCAGCTGCTGCTGCTGCTGCTGCTGCTGCTTTTGCAGCAGCAGCTGCTTCTGCACCTCCCCCTTTCGCACGAAGGCCTGCCACAACTGCCCCTGCAGCAACGATGCCAGCAGCAGCAGCAGCAGCAGCAGCAGCAGCAGCAGCAGCAGCGCAGAGAAGCTCTGACTCTCCAGTGTTGGATGAAAGTGCACTTTTAAGGCGCAAGAGCGACGGAGTTGTGCTGCTCACAGAGTCCCCAGCTAAGAGCCAGCAGCTGCAGCAGCAGCAGCAGCAGCAGCAGCAGCAGCAGCAGCTGCGTGTTTTGCTGCAGCAGCTGCAGCAGCAACAGAGTGCAACAGCCTCAAACCGCATCATGTACGGCGTCAGCAGGGCTAGCAGTGTTTACAGCGTGATGGAAGGCCCCGAGCCTGCAGCAGCAGCAGCAGCAGCAGCAGCAGCTGCTGCTGCTGCTGCTGCTGCTGCTGCAAGCCCTTCGAAACGCCACCGCAGCGACGGGTCACTTGCCCCTCCCCGCACACAAGTGTGGGGCGCCGCACCCCTTCAGGACTCCCTATGGGCTTCTCCAGAAGTAGCCCCACAGCAGCCACTGCAGCAGCTGCTGCAGCAGCAGCAGCAGCAGCAGCAGCAGCAGCAGAATTTCGTGTCACCGGATGACACACATGCGAACATTCTCACTATGAAGAGCCGCCAACTCCCCGGCGAGCCGCTGCTGTTGAATCCGCCGCAGCAGCAACTGCAGCAGCTGCAGCAGCTGCAGCAGCTGCAGCAGCAGCAGCAGCAGCAGCTGGCTGGCTCGCAGCAGGGCTTCTGCGTTCGCCGTGGCCTTGCGGACCCGCTGCTGTGCAGCAGGGGCCCCAACGCAGCAGCAGCAGATTACGGGGCCCCCTTCTCGCCGGCCACCTGCGGCAGCCAGCAGCGGGCGCTGCCGCTGCAGCAGCAGCAGCAGCAGCAGCAGCAGCAGCAGCAGCAGCAGCAGCAGCAAAAGGCCAAGCTGCACAGGGGAGAGGCCTCCATCCCCGAGACGCAGCTGCGGAGTTTGCTGCAGGTGCCTTACAAGTTAGAATGTGTAGTTTACTTTGGGGCAGTCTTGTGTCTTGACGCGCTGCTGTACGAGGTCACAATGATGCCGCTGCAGGCCCTGCGCGTGCTGCTGCTGCTGCTGCTGCTGCTGCTGCGCCGCTGCTGCTGCTGGGCCAGGCGCTTGGGCCGGGCCTGCAGCGGCTTCAGCCTGCTCAGCAGCGCCCCGAGGCGGCTGCGTGCGGCGCCGCGTGTTTTGGGGGCTGCTGCGGCAGCAGCAGCAGCAGCAGCAGCAGCAGCAGCAGCAGCAGCAGCAGCACTCAAGAGCGAAGCGCGGCTTCGAGGCCGCCGACCCCCCGCCCCCGCCTCCGCAGCAGCAGCAGCAGCAGCAGCAGCAGCAGCAGCAGCAGCAGGAGCTGGAGGTGGGCCGATTCTGGATATCGGCTCCGGACTTGTGCGGCTTTTTGCGTTTTTCAGTGCTGGGGCTGTGCGCGCTGCTGTTCGGGTGTATAGACACCTCAATCGTCTACCACTGCATCCGCGCGCAGCCTTTTGTAAAACTTTATGTCATTTTTAATTTGTTGGACTTTTTCGAAAAACTCTGGCGGAGTGTGGGGAGAGACGCGCTAGACGAACTCATGAGAGACGCCACCAGCCTCCTCCGCGCAGCAGCAGCGCAGCAGCAGCAGCAGCAGCAGCAGCAGCAGCAGCAGCAGGAGCGGCAGCAGCAGCGGAGGCGGCCGCAGCGGCGGGGAGAGCAGCAGCAGCAGGGGGGGGGGC